GATTCGTACCCTCACCACCGTCCAGACCTTCCGCACAGCCCTTAAGACCTGGCTATCCCGTCAGGCCTGGGGATAAAGACCACAATCTGTCCCCACCCGGATGATGAATGAATGTTGTGTACTATTTTACTCTCATGTATTGTTTTATGTTTATTGTTTTGTACCCCCCCTCCCTATTTTATGTAAGCCGCCCTGAGTCCCCTCAGGGAAAAGGGCGGCCTATAAATGTTAATAAAATCAATCAAAATCAAAATCAAATCTTAAGGATTGGTCACACAGTCAGCCAGATGTTTGTTTCTTTATTCAGTGTGTACGGCTGCCTATCTCAATCAATGATACTGAGTGGCTTAGAATTCAAAATAACATACCTCAATTAAAACAGTAAAACATTTTAAAATAATAAAAAAACAATAAAAAAGAAATGGATCCTGGAGTTTGAAAGGATATTGAGAATCATCTATTCCAACCTACTTTTACAGATATCAGAAAACCGCTGTTATATTTCATTCCTGTAGTTAAAACTACAACACTATATTTAGTTTAACTACATTTCTGCACTTAAAATATACCCAGATATTTTAATCAACCTTAATGAGACTTTATTTTTAGACCCTCACTATCTTGGTGGCCTTCCTTTGAATGCACTCCAATATGTCACTGTCTTTTTTGAACTATAGTGCCCGTAACTAGACACATTGTTCCAAATAAAGTCTGGCCAGGGAGATTAAAATGGAATAATTAGCTCTTCTGTTCTAGATTCTTTCAAGGTCTCTGTGATTATATCATTTGTCTCCCTGTGTATCAAAATGAATACTTGTCAAGCAGTATGAATAGTCTTGATACAGTCTCCACCATGCTCTTGTTACAGGAAACCACATTATTGTCATGGGACTGCATTGATCTACTTCACTTCCTCTCGGCAGCAATCACCTCACCTGCCACCATGACATAACTATTCTTTCTCAAGATGGCTCTTGGATTTTATTTTTGATCCATGGCAGTTAAAACTTTTTTCCATAGTGATCTAGAGCAAGGTTTATTCAAGTGATTGTGGATTATCCACTAAAAGAGCCTGATGCCAGCCTGGCAGCTCCAATGAAATCAAGCATCCTTCTGCACTTCTTACTTCTTTGGGTCATATGCTTCCAAACGTTTGCCTTTGCTAAAGAGATTTTTTCCTATTGTCTACGACTTCTTCATTTCTCCATCTCCATCCTCTTCTCTCCAACATCAATAACAGAAAGTATAATTTTCAGGCAAGAAGACAAAAAACATTGCACCCACACCTTGAAGATCACAATAGTGGTTTCTTCACTTGTTTATGCTTGCTTGGAGATTCCCCCCACCTATTGTCCTAGTCAAATCCACACACTGATAATCTGATCTTGAGTTCCCAGAAGTTGTGTCTCTTGATGAATTGGTTGGAGGCCAATAAAAAAGGAGGAAATAAAAAAGGATCTTTTGAGTTCCTCTCTCTGAAAGTCAGATTCCTAATATGTCCTCTTGGCTTGCTTCAGCCAAGTCAGGAAGAGCAAGGCTCAAATTGGACACAACAACCAAGCAATAAAACTCAGGAAATTGTCAGTAGCAACAGTTAACAGCCAGGTTTTCAGCAGCAAATAGTCAGCAGACATTTCCCTTCTTGGTTCTTTCTATCTCTCCTGCACCTTTCAATTCACTTGCCAGATTCCTGTTTTCTGTCACTGTTGGCTTATTCAGTGGCTTTCCTCTGAATTGCTGCAGCATAATCTCTTTTGGCCCCAATTGTTGAATACAGCCTGTAGGCTACTCCTCACAATGATATATGTTTTAATTAAGGAAAGGCAAAAGAAGAAAGAAGCTAGTGCATTCATTGGTAATTCTGAGGGAGCATTTCTAGAACCATTTCTAGAACTGAATAGGGGTAGGAGAAGGCTTTCAGTTTGGCCTATTTTATAATATAAGTACCGTATTTTTCAGAGTATAAGATGCACCGGAGTATAAGATGCACCAAGGTTTTGAAGAGGCAATTTTTTAAAAAAGTTTTTGCACTCTGCAAACCTCCCCAAAATGGCCCTTTTTTTGTGAAAACGGGCCCTTTTTTCAAAACAATTGGCATGAATAGCCTTTAGGAGGCTTATAGAGTGGTCCTGGGGGCTGAGGGGCCTAAAATGAACAAAAAATAGCCCATTATTTGCTCATTTCTGCCCTCCACAGCTCCCAGGAGCTCTCTGAAAGCCTCCTAAAAGCTATGCACGGCCATTTTGGTGAAGGGGCGGTGTTTCAGGAGGAAAAAATGCTGTATTCAGGGTATAAGACACACCCAGATTTTCAGCCTCTTTTTTGAGGGGAAAAAGGTGCGTCTTATACTCCAAAAAATATGGTAGTAAAATTTTCAGTAGTGATTTCTAGGTTGTTATATAGCAGGGATGTCAAACTCGTGGCCTGTGGGCCAGATGCATCACACAGTGGCCATGCCCACACCCAGTTTAACGAAGGGGGGGAAAGTTGCGATACGTCACATGACGATGCCATGATGATGTGAGTTAGACACCCCTGTTATAGACATTATTCAACTTTCTATCTCGTCTCCTAAATGGGCTTATAAATTTTGGAATAACAAAGACTCTTTGGTAGTAACATGGAAGATATTTTCATTGTTGCCCTTCAGCATCCTACTCAGCATCCTACTCAGTCTGCAGCCCTGGGATTTATATGGTCTCCTATCCAAGGCCTAAACATCTCTGACTCTTCTTAACATATTGGGATCAGTCAAAAATAAGCATACCACCTACCATATTTTTCAAAGTATAAGACACACCTATTCCCCTAAAAAAAAAAAGGCTGAAAAACTGGGTGCCTCTTATACATTGAATACAGCATTTTTTGCCTCCTAAAACCCCGCCCCTTCACCAAAATGGCCATGCACAGCCTTTAAGAGTTTTGTAGAGTGCTCCTAAAAATGGGCCATTATTTGCTTGTTTGGGGGGGGGCATACTCTCAGGAGCACTCTAAAAGCCTCCTAAAGATTATTGATGCCACTTTTTTGCAAAAAAAACCACAAAAAAAACAGGCCATTTTGGGGAGATCTGCAGAGTGTAAAACTTTTAAAAAAAATTTGCCTCTTCAAAATCTTGGTGCATCTTATACTCTGAAAAATACAGTAGTTGTAAGGATGTAAGATCAATACTGGGCAATGCATGCTTCAAAAATGCTTCAGAAGAAATGCTGCAGTCTGACAAGAGCATAACTGCTCTCTGCATAACTGACTCTTGCAGTGATGTAACTCTTTTTAAAAAGACAAATTGAAAATAAGGCTAATGATTAGTTGCGAAGTGCTGCACTCCCACACACGTAGGATAGAAAATACTTCTGAAGCATTATTGAAGTTGTGATCAGTACATTCCTAAAACATACATTTCTTTACATCTGTGTGGGATGTTACTACTTTGCTTCTTTTATTATTCTCTTTCCTTTTCTTTCTCTCTCCTTTATTGCTATCTTCCTCTTATTTTTCTATCATTTTAGTCCAGACGGATTTTTTTGTTTCATTAAATAAAAAGATTGATGCAATAGGAATACATTTTAAAAAACATTTAACCCATCAGCTGATATAATCAGTTCATGTGATCAAAAAATAATTCATTTATCATTGAAAGTAAAAAAACACATTTAGATAAATAATGATCATGAATGTAGAACCAAGTGATTAATCCATCATAGCTATTTTACAGAGTGCAGTAAATTCTTTTGCATTATTTGTCTGTTGCATTTTAGTATTCTAATGAATCTAATACAATTTCGTTGTATTTATTTATGACTATGAGCCTCACACTTTAAGGACTGATTATATTATATTATATTATATTATATTATATTATATTATATTATATTATATTATATTATATTATATTATATTATATTATATTATATTATAGTTAGGTCATGCTGTTTTTGTTTGCATGCAACTGACATATTGGATGCCAAATTATGATTTTAATATAGATTTTACTTATTATTTTATTCTATAATTTTTAACAGGATATTCCTTGAGTGTTTTTAACTTGCTCTGGTCATTGACTGTAATAAATGTTGCCTTGCCTTGTGTGTAGTAAGGAAATATATCACATAAATGGGTTTGATGATATAAGGCTGTTAAATGTTTTCTGCTTCTATTGTCAGTTCTTTCCATTTGAATCAATTACATTCATACAAATTTCCAGAGGAAGCCACTGTTATAGGCAAAAGATCCTAAGATCTTTTCTTGTGTTAGAATACTGAAAGGTATCTTTATAATGAAAGGACATAAGAGTCCTCTCTTAGTTCTGAATTGGAATTTAGTTTAAAGGGTATCAAACTTGGAGCAAATCTTAACCTATTCAAGAGAAAAGAAGGGTTAAGAAGTTTTACAAATCCCCAAGGAAGTCAGATCATCTGCCTTGTATGATGGACTTCTCTGACTAATGACATTATTAATGATTGGCCAGAATCTGCCAATAACTGCCAAGCAAGCTTGATTTCCCTCTAAATTGAAAATAGTAGTTCAACCAATCTAGAAAAAAATATAATATATTTTGGGAATGGAACAAATACTCATTTAGAATAGGTTCATTGCTGAAATATATTTATATGAAGTCCTTTGTGTACAAGAGGTGATATCAACACTGACTTTATATCATTTATGAAGTTATGCCATTGATATAATTGCGATACAATATCCAAAATTCTTCCTAAGTTTTTAGGAACAACTAAGGGATCAGTCTAGTTTAGTTGGAAAAGAGAGTGCATTCTCAAACTCGCCAGAAAACCCATTCGTGCAATTATTCATGGAATGTTGAGCAAATTTGTCTTAATGATGCTATTATGTTTCATTAGATCTTGAAAGACATACTTAATAAAACTTGGGGAGAAGCATAAGTCATTACTTTAAACCTTATTGCTGCTTGTTATTATAAACTGATCCCAATGTTAACAGTCTGGACTTTAAATGGATTTTATTTTATTTTTGGCACTTACTCTAGTCCTGGGATCATAACCACCCACAGTACATATCTTCAGAGGTTAACTTGAAACAGACTTTCCCATCAGTGCTCTTTAATCTGCATTGCGTGTCAACGTGTCCTTCACCTCCCCATCATGCCAACCGTACCTGAAGATGTTAGGCAGCCAACTGAGACACAGCATTCAAATTCGCCCTCTCTTGTCAAAGTAAGTAAGTTATCTTTATTTATGTGTTATCTTGAATCTTATACAAGAGGTATTACTTATTTTACAAGGGGTATGAATATCTCTGCAGATGTATATCTGAACCATGCTTAGATGTTTACGGCTGCTGTTTTCTAATTCAGCTCTCTGTGATATTATTCTTTATGTCCACATTATGATTTTGCTGGGCAAATAAATAAAATATTAACACAAACTTCAAACTAACATAACATAAACTTAATAAAATAATAATCAATTAACATAAACTTGGTGGTAAGGAAAGAAGAAGCATAGACACATCTATCTTCCACCACAGTTTGTTTTGATAACTGTTCTTTTAATATTTTTTCTAGTTTGTCTCTAGTTGAAGCATTTCTGACTACAGTCTGGTATATTATTGAGTTATAACTGCATTATTGAATGTAGGTAAAAGTAAAGGATCCCCTTGCACATATGTGCTAGTCGTTCCCGATTCTAGGGGGCGGTGCTCATCTCCATTTCAAAGCCAAAGAGCCAGCACTGTCTGAAGACATCTCGGTGGTCATGTGGCTGGCATGACTAAATGCCAAAGGCATACGGAGAGCTGTTACCTTCCCACCAAAGGTGGTTCCCATATTTTCTACTTGCATTTTTACATGCTTTCAAACTGCTAGGTTGGTAGAAGCTGGGACAAGTAACGGAAGCTCACTCCATTATGTGGTGCTAGGGATTCGAACTGCTGAACTGCTGACCTTCTGATCGACAAGCTCAGCATCCTAGCCACTGAGCCACCACGTCCCCAATTTACTGAATATAGCTATATACTCAAATTTCATTACAGTGCACCTTATGCTAACACCATATTGTATCAAATTTTATTTGAAAAAAAAATACTACACCCATTCTCTTTAATCTTCTTAAATATCTTCTTTTTCACTGTTTACATTATATTTGAAGCTTCTGTCACTTTTCTAGCAAACTGGATAGAATTGGAATATTAGGCAATAATTAGATTTGGGATTGGGAAATTCCTACATTGAGAGATTTCAGTTGTATGGATGGATTAGAGGTAGTTCTTGACTTATGGCCATAATTGAGTCCAAGATTTACATTGCTAAGGAAGACAAAAACATATTTTCTGACACATTGGATCCTACTGCAGATGGCCCTTGACTTATGATCACAATTGAGCCTAAAATTTATGTTGCTAAGTGAGACATTTGTTAAATCAGTGTTGTCCTATTTTATGATCTTTCTTACTACAGTTGTTAAGTGAAACACTGTAGTTGTTAAATTAGTAATTCATGTGAATTTGTCTTCCCCATTAACTTTGCTTGGCAAAAGATTGCAAAAGGTGATCACATAACTCCGGGATTCTGCAACAGTCACAAATACATGCCAGTTGCCAAGTGTTCAAATTTTGATCACATGACTATGGGGAGGCTGCAATGGTCGTAAAAGTGAAAGAGGCTCCTAAGTCAGTGCCGTTGTAAATTTGAATGGTCACTAACTGAATGGTTGAGAACTACCTGTAATTTGTATTATAATTTTTCACCCTCACATTTACCTAAATTGTCAGCCTGCAGGTTCAATGTATGAAAAGCATTCTATCATTTGAATGCTGCATAAAACTTCTTATTGCTAAGAGCGGTTTGATAGTGGAACCAGTTATCAGAAAAATCATAGGCTCCTCTTCATGTATTAAAGGAGAAACTGGACAGCCAATAGTAGTTACTGCTGGAAACTGAAATACACCATACAGATTTCCTTTTTAACTATCACTGTTCTTTCTTCTTACCAATCTGTGATTTTTAAAAAAAAACAAATAACAGTAGGGCATGCTGCATTATCCTGTCAAAATTGTGTGTGTATGTTTCATAGTGTACTGATGAACGTCATTGCTTTCTAATTTCCCCTGAAAAATATTTTTGGGAACATAAAGTACAAAAACGAAGTGATGTATGTGGATTGTTTAAAACGAGAAACTTTCATTAATGTACAATGATGAGTTCATGCATTGAGTGACTTAGAAGACTAAATATCTGCAATGTCAGGACTTAGTTAGCTGACCTTTTAAAAATTATCATTATGTTCTCTGAGATGTGTTGAAAACCTTTAAGACCAATGTATATCTGGCACATTCAGTTTTGTTTTTATCATTGTCTTCCAAACCTAGGACATGGTATTCTACATCTGGATGAAAACATCCGCTACTTTTCCTTTAGTTTCATAGGAAAAAGTTGAACCCTTAAGTGATTTGTCATGCTTTCTGACACAATTACACCTTTGTGCTAACAGCTAGTTTCCTGGTGGAAGATAAACAAGTCAGTTATATGTGAATTTAGTAAGCAGTCAGATGGAAAGCATACAGCATACGTCAAAAAAGATATTTTCATGCCTTTTGTCTTCCATTTGGTTTATATGCCTAAAATGGTTGTGAGGAATTTTCCAACTTCTGGTCCCTGACTACTTCTGCATTTCACTTATTCTATTACAGCTAGGAGTCTCCTATTTCTCAAAATATTAGGTGGATTTAAAGTGAAAGAAAAAACTCCAGAATGATTGCTTGCTGGTATTACAAGTGGAAGCTCAGCTTGTCAGCCTTCCAAATTTTGGGAAGAAACAGTCTCTTGAGTTCCATTAATCCCAGATAAATTGTTAAATGATATTTCGGCTACTGTGGACCCTGAAACACTAAAGTACATGAAGTGAAATTGTTGTGTATACTTTGAAAATGAGAAAGAGCTCTAGAAACCCTTACATCAAAACTACTAGAAAATTCTCACATGGAGTATTCCTTCTATGAGTACCATGTCTCCTGTGGTACACAAATATGTAACCCCTCCTTGTGGAGAGGGTTCACAATCAAGGTATCCTTTCCACCCCTACCTTACACACTTTAGAAGAAAAGTATAGCTCAAATATGTGTTGTCATAATTACATACATGTAGGGTTCTGTTTTAAGTTATTAGATTCAAAGGAAGTGTTAACCTTTCAAATCCTTGTTATGTCAGCCTGATCTGCTGTACTGACACAAGAAATGAAGCAACTTTGACAAATGTAGAAGTATAGTCATTTCTACATCCTAAGCTTTTAAATTAAGTGCATCATCTGTCAAAATATCATTCAGCATTTTCTCTTAACTCTCTAAAACTGTGATATGTGATTGATATACCTACAGAATAAGTTGTCTTACTAATCTAATGATGTAGACACTGGTCTACAAAATCATATTTTACAGTGAGTGTATAAATGTATTTCTAGGTATCACAAGATCGGTCTTCTGTTTGCTCAGTAAACATCCGTCAGGGAGAATGTTTTAATGTTGTAAAAATAGGATGCTTTTCCAAGGCTGTATAAATATTTAGAATTGATTTATAGCTTAAGATGTTTCACTAAAGACAGTAATCGTGATCAAGTTCTTGTTCCCTGAAGGTTGTTGTTAATAAGAGTAATCACATAAAAATCCAGAGAGGATAGTTTGCATTCTCCTTAAGATATACAATTGGACAAGCTTAAGAGAGAGCAAAAACAAATATGCAAATCTGTTTATATACGTACAATTTCTTACTGTCCTGTATTTGTATATGCCCATCACATCTCATTCTATTCTGTTTTTACTGTTAAAGAAGCTAAGTGGTTGATATATTAACATTGAACATAATGTTTCTTTGTTCAAGCCCTTACCATTAGGATAGGCTAGAATTTGTAGAGTCCATCATTTATAAAATTTGCTCTTGTTATTAATGAAAGTAATTGTATGATTCATGTTTAGTTGAAGTCTGTAGTTAGTTTTTAGTTAGTCTTTAGTTAGTTTCAGGGCAGGGTTGAAAGATCTTGTAAAACTGTACACACTTACAAATCAAGAATTAGATAATTCCCTTGTGATATGTAGTGCTTTACACATGTTATCAAAAGGGAAAGCATTTTTTTCCTCAAAAATATTTTTTAAAAAAAATAGAACTGTCTTTTCAAAGTTTAGCTGGAATGTAGGAATAGAAGCAGATGAGTTTTACCTGATCTTATCTTTTGGAGGAAACTATCTTAGCTTCAGGAAGCTTCTTTTGTTAAATAGAATACTTGTGCCAAACTTGGGGAGAGTAAACTTTAAGTTTTCATGTAAGAATAATGGGATATTTTATTCTGTTTGAATGAGATATACTTCTCTTGTTCAGGAGACCTCTGCTGAAACAGCTACATGCAACACACCTTCAATAATTCTTCCGGAATGTGCCGTTAGACCAGTTACAGAAAGAGACACAAATGTACCTCTCAGGTAATTAATGCATGCGTGCCATTTTATTTCCATGATCATTAATTGTCACCTTTGGTGAGATGGGCAGGCATATACATTTGTCACACAAAAAGGAAGCTTTTGCTTGATAAAAAATGTTAATCTACACTTATGTGGAAAGAAAAAAAAAGTGGGATAAAAGAAAAGGACCAGGAATTTCTGTTGCTAAGCTAGGCGGGTGTAAAGCATAAAAATCACACGATCACACCAATTTTATGATGGCAATTGCAACAGTTCCAGCTATAGTTGTTACAAGAATTCCACACGGGTGTTAGGCATAATATTATGTGATCCTCATTTGCTAACTTCTGCCTATTTTCCCATTGACTTTGCTTGTGGAAAGTTAGCAAGGAAGGACACAAGTAGCAATCATGACCAAAAGATGTATAATTGGGAGTTGGTTGCATCCATGCATCCATGCTACAATCACACGACTGTAGGAATGCTGCAGTCGCTGCAACTAATGAGATAGACTCTTGCCTCATAGAGATAAAGGCTATTCATATGAAGCAAAATACACATTTTTTTTCAAGAATAACATAATTTTAGAACCCATGGATTTAAAAGGAGAATTTAAAGTAAGGATTTAAAGTTCAAAGGAAGTAGAGCCTCATCTTTTGAATAAAGATAAATACCAGCACCTTTGGACAATTGTACTTTCCACAGTGGAACAGTTATCTTCCTCCTCATCTGCCCATTATCCAGTTCCTTACCCATCATCCCATCCTCTACCGTCCCCTCTACTCCTTCCCCTTCCCTACTGCTTTTCCATGTTCTCTTTTTCATCTTTTTACTGCTTGCTTTAACTATTTTTGCATCGGTAGGTAGCTGAAAACAGAAAATAGGACTGTCAGCCAGTTTTCAACCTAATAGTAGCTGATACTCATTGTGCCACAATTTTTAATTTATGTCCCACCTATTGTTAACTTTGTTTTTTTAAAGGACATTATTTATCTTACTTTTAATGGAAATAGAATATTTAATTGAATTGCTTATTTTTTTTTAAACTGGACTGTAATAATCCAAAATCTTTTCCTACATACATAGTACATGACCTTCATTATGTAGGAAAGTACTTATTCCTTATGATCTTTATTATTTCAGTTTGCTTCCATAAGAACCACTATGATATTTTTAAATAATAATTCAGAATGCTTTTGAATTCAGATAAGTTTAATAATTTGGAAATATATAGTTCATAAACCATTTTTCTAGGTTGCAAGGCAAAGTTCAACTCAATAGGAGGAGGAGGAAGAAGTATTATGTATATTCACTGTCTTCAGTTACTTATGATATAAAAGAGAGATTAAAAAATCTAATAAAGATGTAAAGGCTACCCTGTTTCCCCAAAAATAAGACCTCCCTGGATAATAAGCCAAACCCTCAAATCAGGGTTTTGAGTGCATTCACTAAAATAAGCTCCCCCCCAAAAATAAGCCCTCCTCGAAAATATTGCAACACAGCAGCAGCCATAAGGTGACCTCTCTCGCCACCTCCTGCACCTCAAAAATAATAAGACCTCCCCCAAAATAAGGTCAAATGCTTATTTTGGTGGTCAAAAGAAAATAAGACCTTGTCTTATTTTCGGGGAAACATAGTAGTTCCCACTAGCTCAATGAATTCAAATGAATGAGTACATAGCAGCAGCATTTGCATGGCATCTTAATTTTGGCCTGTATTTATAGATCACAATTTACTAATTTAACAATAAATACAGAAAATAATCAATATTTTGTTCACAGCACAAAATAAAAATGAATAGATTCATGGAAACATTGTCATGCCCATAGATGCATTAATACATAGATGTACATACCTGCTCACACATATTGTTTTTACATTTTAACAGTTTTCAATATGGGTCTTTCCCTTTAGGCCTGTTAGCCCTCATCTGCGACATTCTAACAGAAATGCTAGAAAATCAGGGAGCTCTTTGACTTCTGTAGGTAAGAATCATATATGGTTGCCTTACTTTTTATTTCAAATTATTTATACAAACAAATTGGCAGAATTTCAAATGTTGCTTCATTTGCTTCCATAACATTGATTCTGTTCTAAAAATATTGTATGGCCCTTTATATTGTATGCAGTACAAAAAATTTTGATCTTATTTTGTATATATTATAGTCAGAGAATATATAAGATGGTTAAGAAAATAGAAGGAAATATATCACTTCAACGTCTTTTGGGCTTCATACCCTTACAAACATATCCTTCACACCCTTACCAAGAGAATCCATTGATGTAATCCTGAATGTTTACAGGAATGTCACATTCCTGTAAATGTCAAAGAACAAAGAAATATATCACTACCTAACCTTGTAGATGCCAAATACTATCTTAACTTCTGTCAATTTTATGTGCTATTGTAACCAATGTTGCCTCACACAAAAACTAAACACTAATATGAGGCTACCTACAGGCTCAATTATAATAGATTTATTTACAGATAGTAAAAATACATTACAGAATAGAGAGTACTTGCCCTCGTTTAGCTGGTCAGTTGTAGTAGACATTTACCAATAGTTTGTATGTAATACACTCATTACAGTAGTCAAGAAGAAATACTTCAAATGTGCAGTTATGTTATGCATTCATTGTTAATGCAGTATTTTCCTATTTAGATAATGAAGGTCATGTAATTGATCTCCTACATGACCAACTGCCAGATATACAAATATCTGATGAAGATAAAAAGAAGAACTTTGAACTATTAGAAGAAGCAAAGAAGGTGAGTGAGAGGTTCCTCACACGTAGAGGAAGAAAATCAAGAAGCAGCCTTTCAGAATCACCCACAGGTATGTATTCCAAAATACCATCTTTCAGACTCTGTGCAAATGGAACTCATGGTTATCTGACCTACGACAACTATGATCTTTTATTCCAAGACTCATGTGTAGAGGAGTACACAAAACAGAAAATGTGTTTTACTTCAACACTGATGCTATAAATGCTCTGTATTCCAACTGTTCATTATTTATTTACTTACTTTCTTACTTACTTGAATTATCCAGCTTCCCCCAATTCCAGATAGTTTACCATAGAGATTCTATTCAATCATCCCAGACTGGCCACAGTTTGACAGAAATAGAACATTTTTTGTTCTGGAATTGCTATGTTCAGATCTACTAAAATCTTACTGTGATCTCCCTGTTCCTAGACCTGCTGCAAATCTAGCATCCTAAACACTATATCATAATGGCTCTGGGAAAAAATCACTGATTTTATAAAATGCTTTTGGGGATGATCCTTACTGACTGTTCCATCCCATACAGAAGGATGTTTAAGAAGTACATTGGTACCTTGGCACTCAAATGCTTTGAAACTCATCAAATTTGATAACACATTTTGACACAGTTTGTCCCTGTACTCATTATTTGTTTAGTACTCAACATATAAGCTACTCATCACACATCCCAGAATCAATTGACAATGGGTACCGAGATACCACTATACCACAATATTGAACTAAGCTCTTTTACCCCTTCTGTGTTTTGATGTCTGTAACACTGATTTTATAGTGTAATTTTAATACATGTTTTGAGTTTAACTTCACCTTTATAGAAAATTTATTTAAATGCCTCACAAGTGACATCTTTATTTAATGCAGCTTTATCCCCATCACTAAGCCCCAGTGTTTCACCTGCTTCATCTCGGAGCAACTCGTTAACTCTTCCAGATCCAACAGGTAAAATCACTAGTGCAACATTCTAATAAAGAATAATGCTTTTGTGTTGGTTTATACCTCCATGCTTCATAAAGTTGACTATTAAGAGGCATTGTAAATATATTTACATAGAGGTTTCCTTCAAAAATTTAATAGGAGTTATTTTGCAGCAGGGAGTTAAAATAAAAAGCATTATGTTTCTCATAATGGTCAATCAAACCAGCAACTCAAGAAGGAAAGCTGAATAGAGAACGTAACACTGTTATCTTCAAGGTTGTACTTATTAGCATTTTGGTTTTGACCCTGAAGGTTCAATTGGATCTATCATCTGCTCATAATTAGGTGATATCCACAAATTTGTCTATTTTAATCACTTTTAAAACTCTTTTTACTAACCTGGTGCCTTCCAGATATCAAATGCCCTTAGAACTGCCACTATCCTGGCACTAGATTGGGGAAGGTTATTCTTAACATGCACTGAATATATTTGATAAAATAATCTTAACAAACAAAATAAGGAATGCAGGAAGATCTGAAACAAGTCATATACGGTAGATCTGGGTTTAATTTTCAGAGAGAATATGAATTAGGTAAAAATTATCAGGGAAATTAATAACTTTTCTTTGCGAGGATGTTTCATGACTTCAGAGAAAGGCTCCTCATACAACAAGATCCAGAGTAGCACATTCTCAGCAGCAGGTTATAGGTGTTCAAATGGATTCACTCATAAGAGAATTTCTAAGGTGTGCAGTGATTTTCTTGAAATTGTCATGCCTCTCTTTAATGTCTGATATGTTTCAAACAAGGTAAATACTTTCATCGCATATTTTTCATATTATAGATTCTGATATATGCACGTCAAGTGTTGAGTCGGTGTCTCCATTGCAGGTGAATATGCTTTAATATTCTTTGTTCATTTAATATAATCAGATAAACAATGTTATTTTGAGAAATGGAATTATATGGGCAGTAACTAGCTTAGTTATGCTACGCTGAGTGATTGCATCACCAAATCTGGGCATGTTGCCAGAGTCCAATGTGAGAGAACAGACTCAAAAACACTATGAAAGGTCACTTGGAAGGAACCCTTGGTGGATGAGTGAGCAGTTAAACATATTTTTTTCTATTGAGAAGAGCTAGTGCTTTTAACTTTCTCCTTATCCAGTTTGTATTGTTAATACAATTGAAATTTCTAGTTTGGGGGTGTGTAAATTTAGCCTCTTGGAACAGGGAGCGCTGTCAAGGGTGATTGATGCTTCTGTCAGTAATCCAGCCATTACATGAATTTGCATCACTTAAAAACTGCAATTAGTTCAAACTTCAGTAGCCAACCAGTTGGTGAAGGAAATCCCTATCTAACAAAATGAAATCCAATGTTGATTTAAAAATAAGGTTCTACATTTAGGCAAGAAAAATCAAATGCACTACTCAGTAGTAGTAACTGTGAGAGCAAGAGTCCTCTCACAGTTACTAATACTAAATAGTGCATTTGATTTTTCTTGCCTAGTGCCCTAGTGGATAAGCACTTAAATATGAGTCAGCAGTATGCTACTGCTGCCAAAAAAGCTAATGCAGTCCTAGGTTACATTAACAGAGGGATAGAATCAAGAACATACGAAGTGTTAATACCACTTTATGATGCCTGGGTAAGACCACATTTGGAATATTGCATCTGGTTTTGGTCAACATGATATACAATACAATAATAATACAATAGCAGAGTTGGAAGGGACCTTGGAGGTCTTCTAGTCCAATCCGCTGCCTAGGTAGGAAACCCTATACCATTTCAGACAAATGGCTATTCAACATCTTCTTAAAGACTTCCAGTGTTGGGACATTCACATCTTCTGGAGGAAAGTTGTTCTACTGGTTAATTGTTCTAACTGTCAGGAAATTCCTCCTCAATTCTAAGTTGCTTCACTCTTTGATTAGTTTCCACCCATTGCTTTTTGTTCTACCCTCAGGTGCCTTGGAGAATAGTTTGACTCCCTCTTCTTTGTGGCAACCCCTGAGATATTGGAACACTGCTATCATGTCTCCCCTAGTCCTTCTTTTCATTAAATTAGACATACCCAGTTCCTGCAACCGTTCTTCATATGTTTTAGTCTCCAGTCCCCTAATCATCTTTGTTGCTCTTCTCTGCACTTTTTCTAGAGTCTCCACTTCTTTTCTACATCGTGGTGACCAAAACTGAATGCAGTATTCCAAGTGTGGCCTTACCAAGGCATTGTAAAGTGGTATTAACACTTCATGTGATCTTGATTCTATCCCTCTGTTTATGTAGTCAAGAACTGTGTTGGCTTTTTTGGCAGCTGCTGCACACTGCTGGCTCATATTTAAATGGGTGTCCACTAGGATTCCAAAATCCCTCTCACAGTTACTACTATTGAGCAAGATACCACCTATACTGTACCTGTGCATTTCGTTTTTCTTGCCTAAATGTAGAATTTTACTCTTTTCACCATTGAATTTCATTTTTTAGATAGTGCCCAATGTTCAAGTTTGTCAAGATCCTTCTGATATAAAAAAGATGTTGAGACTCTAGAAAGAGTGCAGGGAAGAGCAACACAAATTTTTAGGGAACTGTAGGCTAAAACATATAAAGAACAGTTGTTGGAATTGGGTATGTCTAGTTTAATGAAAAGAAGGAGTAAGGATGACACGATAGCAGTGTTCCAATATTTGAGGGGCTGCTACAAGGAAGAGGGGGAATCAATCTATTATCCTGAAAGCAGGACAAGAAACAATGAATGGTAACTAATCAAGGACAGAACCAACTTAAAACTAAGGAGAAATTTCCTGACAGTTAGAACGATTAATCAGTGCAATTGCTTGCCTCCAGAGCTTGCGGGTTCTCCAACATTGGAGATTTTAAAGAAGAGATTGGATAATCATTTGTCTGAAATGGTATAGGGTTTCCTGCATGAGGGGTTGGACTAGAAGATCTCCAAGGTCTCTTCCAACTCTGTTATTCTATTAAGATCTCTGATCATAGAACATTTGCACCAAAGGTATTGTACTGGTTGCCAGGATTTTTCTGGATGCAATTCAAAGTGCTAGTTTTAACCTATAAAGCCTGGCTGGATCCAGGTTCTCTGCATACAAATAGTCCATTCAAATTGTTTATTTATGAACTTTTGTATTTCAAAAATAATCTTGGTAAGTCTCTATGGAGACTCAGTATAGCGCCTGTATACTATACTGTATCTATAAAGAAATTGGATAGATAGCAGTGCTGTGTTCTGGTTGAATATAAATGCTTCTTGAGGGAAACATTTGTTTTCTAGAATTCAAAAACAACATTTTTTTCTGAAGCAAGAAATATTGACGAGATTGCTTCTACCACTGAAATATTGTTGCTGGTGCCTTCAGTAGAGAAGCAGGGGCTTAGAAAATATGATGCCTAAGAGAAACTGATTTTAAGTTAGTTTGTTTAATTTCAGAATCCCACAAAAGGAATGCCTAATCAAAAGGAGAATGAACAAAGAAAAGATTCTCAGGGAAGAATGGTTCCTCACATAACTGGTTTGGAAAGTCCAAAGGAGAAGGTGTCTGAACAAAAGGAGAACTTTGATCCATATAAACATAAAGATAATCTGCCTCAATTCTGCACTTCAGATTCCAACACTGGCAAAATATCTCTTAGTAGCAGCAAGAACTTCTATGAAACTGAATTAGGGAAAGAATTCCCTAAAAAAATTAAAGGAAACGACTTTTCTTTCAAAGGTCATTTACCTGGACCAGGAATGATTGCACCAGGCCCGAAGTTAAAGGGCTCAGCACCACTACTGAAGGATTCCAAAGTTTCTAATAAAACTGAATTTAATGCATCTAGTAACCGCTCTCCTCTACTACGAGCTATGTCATGGGATCATCCTGAACCATGTAATGTAGAAAAAGCACCTTTCAGACCATCTGAAGGTATTAAAAACTCTGCTGGTAATATAGCAGCTGGTAATATAGTAACTAAGCTTCCACCATTCAAAGACCTTCACATACAAGTTCAGCCAATTCGAATGCAGAAACTGACAAAGCTCAGAGAGGTGAGTTTTGATAAGTTGATATGGGGAAGTTCTGTGTAAACTATACAGTATTTGTTTCAGTCTTATGTAATTGAATAGCATTACTGTATAATGATGTAAATTATATTTTAAACCTGGGGAAATATTATTTTGCTTCCATAGTTTATTATACCAGAAATGTACAATTTATTATTTGAAATGTGGAAGATGGGTAAAATTAGTAGTCTGTAAGGATGGAACAAACGAACTTAGCCAGACTTTTGGGAATTCATTCAAATCAATTGCACAAAATAAATGCCTCTACCTTGATGTGATAGACTTCCCTTCTACCTATCATGCTGAGTTACAATATAGAGTGTAATCAGTGTCTGCTGGATCAGACCCCTGACCCATATAGTCCAGCAATCTGTTCTCACAAGTGGTCAACCAACTGCACAAGGAAGCCTATTAATTTCCCCACATGTTTCTTTCACAGGCAGCTACACTGCCATCTGCCCAAATAGCCATTGATCTCTATGACTTCCATTAACTGATCCAGCATTTTTTGAAGCCAGCCAAACTGGTAGCCAGAAAGACATCCCTTGATTTTATTTTTGTAGGGCTTAGACTCTGGAGATTATGACTATAGTCCCCATCATTTTTTGTAGCCTCTCCAAAAGTCTGTTCAATGGTATTTGTGCAATTTTGGATTGTGGTTATCATCTTGTCCTTTCATGCAGTTACTTTTTTACTTTTCAAAAAATGATTTTTAATATTTGCGTCCCCAAAATTATAGCAAACTGTCAACTGAAATGAAATATCTAAGACATTATGTTTCCTGTGGGAAGAGCTTATTTTCCTGTGCATTAACAGTCACAGTGGTTATATTTATTACCTCCAGTTTATCACTGGCAATATGACTCTTATTTCTGGGGAATCTAAGTGGAAGGATGTTCCTAGGCGTATCCGGACTATGGCTTCCTGCAGGCTTTTGATTGGCTACTGCAAGAACAGAGTTTTGGACTTGATAAGGATTTGGTCTGATCTGGGAAGCTATTTTTATAGTCTTAATATTTGCAACAAGTTCATAATTATTCTGTTTCTCAGAATTAAAAGGGCTATTATAGCAGATCTTAACATTTGCAGGTAAAGATGGAAAGCAATTTCTGTCTGGTTTTTTTTTTATGCCTCAGCAAGAGGGAGGCCTTTTTCCTTCATATTCAGAGACAGGTAGCCTGCTCCTCTGTGAGGGCTGGAAGCAGTTACTCCCTTTTTACTTTGTGGAAGAAGGGGCTGTCTTCCTTCCTTCCCAAAAAGATTGGTATCAAGGACGGATAGTTGAAGGTGGCTAGATAACATGGCCTTCCATTCTAGCTTCAGGTTCATAAAGTGAAGATTCAGTTTCATTTCTCATATGAAGAATCAATACCTTTAAAATTATTATTGCATTTAGAAAACATAACTAGCTTCCATTCGGAAAATGAACATAAATGATGGTACAGCATTGTAGCTTTGGACTAGTTATGTAAGACAGTAGGCAGGAAGAAGCTGACAAATTGTCCTGTCATGTTAGAAAGTAATATTTATGCATGAAATAAACCATTTTATTTCTTCACAGCCAAAAAAAAATCTTCCTTTCTTTCTGGAGTTACATCATTGCATATAAATCTGTAATGTTCCTTTAAGAGTTTCTGCTATAAATGTGTTTCCGTTGCTTTTATATCTTGTTTTTCACTAAACTGATCTCAAGGGAACCACTTTTGTACATAGTCTCTCTAAAATGGAGCAACATAAAGGCAAAAATCAACAACCCTGCACTAGGGTAACAGTGCAAAAATTAATAGCTCATAACCAGTACAATTTGAATAGATCAGAGACAAACGCTAAATACAGCCATTTAGAAATTATGTTGAACATTTTATTAACTTTGTTTAAGGAAATCAGTGGTGTCCCTTCTTATGTCAGTAAATATAATCTTAAGTCTTACACGACAATATACTGTATATTAACAAGCACTTATCCTTTAATCTTCAAATGTTTAAATAATATTTAATATTATTTTAAATCGGTTTCAGAGGGATATGAGCACAGATCAAGTGAATGGGTTTTTTAAACATAGCCTAATAGCTTATAATGTAAATGTAATGTATAATGTAAAATATAAACCACCAAGTCACTTGCTGTAGTGCTAGTATGTTAGGAATGTTTCAGCTCTTATAGTTTAATGGAAACGTTAAGAAGTTTATGGATGGTAGTTTACAAATGCATATGACAAGAAAATGCCTTTGCAATACAGTAGTTTGGTGTATCAGTAGAAAGAATATTGGGTTTAAAAGTTTAATTGCACACATGGGAGGTTGATTTAACAGAGTTTGCAGTCTTTTTGGCCATGATCTTAAAAGAAAATATCTTTCTGTCTAGCTAATAACAGTTTATATGGCAAATTTGTCATTACTATAGTATTAATGCTAGGAGGAAAAGCTAATTGGAATTTCCTGCCTCCCCACATAACAATTAGTGACAAATCTGCTATTATATTAGTGGGGAGAAACCCTACTGGTAATACCACATACACCATTAGAAAACTTGTGTGAACTTTAGGTTCATTAGTTAATTTTAAGAAAAACTCTTCAGTGTATATAAGACTACTGGGGGCATTTGGGAGATTAGTGCTGTTGTTTTTTAAACACTTTATCGTAAGAGACATGAATTTAAATTGCATTTTACTATTTTATTGTGCATTAACATATAATTTACTATAAATAAGCTGCTCAGTTAATATGTTGTTGGCAACCATATAAATATAGTAATTAAAACAGCAAAGAAGTGATACTGTAGCTTGGTAATTTTAAAAGTTTTTAATACTAGAGCTATTTTGAGACATACTGTATCTACTGTGCTTTTTAATAGATAGATTTAGAATACTTTGTTTTACTGTTTCCCAATCATTTGTGGATACAGTTCAGAATGTGGCTCATTTTTAAAAGCCCTGTGCTATTTATGAATTGAGATGAAAAGGGACTTTTTTTGTAGATTGGTGGCAACTAGTGAGACTATCATACTTGATAGTGATGCCATGTAATGAAATTGGCTGTCCTAGCCCCTTCTTCTTCTTTTCCTAGCTCTTTAGTTATTCCCACCAGTATTATTTTAACAATATTTTATCCTTTTAATATTTTTCAGGTATTATTTTTATAAGGGATCCTTTGTGCTCTTTGAACTTGATTATTTTCTTGCAGATGTTTCATTATGCAAATCACTGATGATACTGTATTACCTAGTTTGGAAATGTCTGCAAGAAAACAAGCAAGCTTAGAGAGCCCCAAGGACCCCTCATTTCAACCCTCAGCTACATATATTGGTATCATTTTTATAGTTGGGAATCATGTTGGGAATGTTGTACAGTGAAGGATAGAATTTAGACTCAATATTCTTGTTACTAAATCAAGCAATTCGTAGATTACTGTCAGCTTTATATGTATTTATAATACTGTATTTAGTAGACGTTATTCTGTTATTGAAAAGTTATTTTTAAAATAAAAGTATTAAGAAATAATTCAAGATTTTTTCCTCCACCAGGAACATATATTAATGAGAAATCAAAATTTAGCTGGACTTAAACTTCCTGATCTAAGTGAAGCTGCTGAACAGGAAAGAGGTGAAATACAACTAAATATATTATATATGATTAAAAGGGAGGTGGCATGACTTTGGTAGCCATGCCACTTTTCTAACCTTGAGCCTTTTGCTAAAAATCTTAGTAAGGATGACTTAATTTGTAATCTCCCTCTAAATGAGTAAAGGACAGGAGTGAAACTCATGGGAGTTGGCATCCAATAACAGTTAGAGAACTATAAGTTCACTATTATTGTAATGAAAGGGTTCCACTATTATGGAAACTATACAAGTGTGTATTGTACATGTGCTGTGTAGAAAATTTGCAAATGACTCTACAGTGGACCCGTGGTCTTAAATACAGTTATATTCAGTTGATTACAATGATATTTGAGATCATTAGAACTATTACCAGACAACCTATCAAGCAGAATATAGGGACTGATTATGCATTTGCTGAAAAATAAAAGTCTGCTTAATTTTTGAATAATGGAATATTCTTTGATCATCCCTTGGAGTATTTGAGTTTTATTTTAATCAGTAATGCAGAAATAGATTTTTTTAAATTAAATCTATTCTGAAATTGGTTGCTTAGAGCAGAAATGCCCCCCCCATCCAACTTCCCACAATATTTGAACTATCAGAGTGTGATACTTAATATTCTTCAGTTGTTTGGTTGCTTCTGTTTTAGTAATGAAATGTTTTTTTTTCTTTAGGGTCTTCACCAATCCCTTTCTTAGTGGAGGAGGAGGAGTCAAAGAATAGATGTGATGCCATGCCCAACATTCCTGACATACTTTTACGAAAGCTTGGTGTACAAACACCATTTTCAGGAAGGTAAATCCATCTGTGAGTGGTGTTTTACTGTCTGAACATATGTAATGAAAGAAGTATTTTAATCTCATTAAAGCGAATTGGGAAGAGGTGGAGATTTTCAATGCACTTTTGTCTACAAGACCATAACGTAAGGAATGTAAAGTAATACAATTTTACAGAATTAAGACTATGGTGACAAGGGTGTCAACCTTCCGACTAATGAATCCAACCAATTCAGCACTCTGAGACATACAGCTTTCTCAAAGAACTGATTTACTGAGTACATAATTTTGGCATGGATAAAAACAAAACTATAGTTTATATTTAACTATTTCCTGCAGTTTCAGTATAATTAAATAATAGATAATTCCCTCCCTCATTGTCACAGGTCACATTGTCCAATTAGGCTTTCTGGCATCTCCTTGGCAACTCCTTCTAGTCTCTGGCCAGCACCTGTTGAGATGACCTTGGTTACCATGGGATGGGAATGTTCTGTTGTTATTATCTGGTCTGACATTCCAAACCTCTCCCCCCTCCCTTTCTGTGTGGCAATCTGAGAAACGGAAAGATGACTGCGGAAGGCCTGATCTGTTTTGAAGTTGACACAGGGTTTACTTCTCAGTCAACTATGAGACACCCTGAGCCAATCATGACTTTCAAATTTTCCAAAGTTATTCCAAAATAAAATATTATATGTCACCTTGAGCTCTGTCATTTCATAATCCTGTAATATCAAGGGCATATAAGCAATTATTACAAGTAATATGGTTATTCATTATATTTTAGTATGCTTGTCATTCAGTGGTGGGATTCAAATAATTTAACAACCAGTTCTCTGCCCTAATGACCAGCTGTGCAGGCGTGGCTTGGTGGTTATGTGACTGGGTGGTCATGGCCACTCACATTGATGAGCGCTTCGTCTTAGCTGTTAAAATGTAATAGGGTTAACTGGAAAAGCAGTTTCTGTAAGGGAGAACAATAAAGATTAGGTTAGAAACAACACCAGAATGTTTCCTTCCTGCCTTCCTTACAGGATTAGACCTTTAAAGTGGAAAAAAACAAAATAAGATTTCTTCCAACAACTGGTTTTCCAAACTGTTTAACAAGCGGTTCTCCTGAATAGGTGTGAACTGGCTAAATCCCACTACTGTTGTCATTGAACTCTAGAAAAACATGATTCACATTCTATAACCTCATGAAATGCTCAACTGACAGCCACAATAATGATGCTGGTTCTGGGTGGACAACCTTTTCTTTTTAAGGAACCAAGATTCTGTATCTTACAATGTAATTGTTAGACCTGGAAGCCATTTTTTACATTGGGCCTTCAGGCCTGCCACATTTAAAAAAATTGGGAGGAGGGGTTATATAGAGTGTGAGAGATATAGTCAAAATAACATTCCTTTCTCAGAGAATCAATGACATCTTGCTCTGCACTCAGTGGTGTGACTGGGAGGCATCTCCAGTTGGGACGGTGCCTGATTGGATCATAATGTGATGGACATGTGGATGTTGGGCAGGGACTTGAACTTTCATCTGGGTGGGGAAAACCTGGAAGCTTTCAGATTCGGGTTTCCCCAGATGTGCCAATATGACATCTCTAATAAAATGGAACTTTGAGGAAACTCAAGCCTCAGAGTCTTCTTTTTTTAGGGGGTGTTACTTGGAACCCTGACATTAATAATGAAATTTAAAATGATAAAATATGAATTAAATGTGCTTGATTTTGAGTAAGACATGTCATAGTGTATTTTTTCATTCTCTAATTACAGCATATATGCAGTTAGCTGATTATTATCCAATTAAGAAAATGGCCTGTTAGATGCTGATTAAGTATACAGAATAAATGGCTTTTAAATGTAACATATGGGTTATTCCTGTTCTTATTGCAGTGCTCCACCACTTACTGAACGAGAGGTTGAGGTAAGTGTTTTTAATCTAAATAGCACAAAAGCAATCAAGTTTTGTGTGTCACATAATTCTGATGCTAATCATTTTTTTGTGTGTCACATAATTCTGATGCTGATCATTGTTTTGTTGAGAAGCTTTACTTGCTTTCCGGGAATGCTATAATTTTCAGTTAAAGACTTGGTGAAAATATATTTGAAGAATGTTCTCAAAACTTCATTTACAATAAATAGAATATAAAATGTGTCTCTTATAATAACATATTTGAACATACCAGATTAGATCAAGAGGTAACAGAAGAATTCTATTTAGCTGCCAGTACTGAGTTATGGAACAGGAATTAAACTTAATTGGATCTGTGATCAGGATTTTCAAGAAACAAAAATCAAGAAACCATGATAGAATCAAAGCTTTGTATACTTTTGCTGAGAAAAGCCAACACAAAGTTATTTTAACTGTTACTTTCTATATCTAGTATTAATTTAGAAACACTGACCTTATCAGATAGCCACAACATAAAAATTCCTAGATATGCAGAGGTTCACAGCCCACATAAACTTAAGTTTACTCACCTTTTCTTTTACAAGAAGCTTTTAAAACTATAGTGCTCAAGAGACTGGTGCCTAAGAATTATCACATCAAAAAGCACAAAGCTGGTTTTTGGTTTTGGTTTTCCCCAAAAAGCCTTTTAAAGAATATATCTCTCAGGGCAATTTCTTACTCAGACTTCCTATTCATTTCTAGAAAGAAAGAATTGGCAATTAAAAATTGACTTCAGCTTCAACAACTAAGTTTTAGCATTTGAATGGAAGGTCATTAAGAAATCTTAATACAAATTAGACTGGGGAATCAGGGAGAAAAACATCCCAGAATATGAAAACAGTCAATCACTTCTTGGGTAATTAAAGGAACTACACAGACTTGTAAAAACCATCAACAGTTTTTCTCAATTGGAAGAGACTTTATCTAACCAGTTTTCCCAATCTGGAATTTCCAGCTGTGATGTGGCCTTCCTGAGCTCCATTTTCCCTGGCAGAGACACTGTGGGCTGGTCCTTCGCTGTTTCCAGAGCAGCCCCACAGGGCCAGATCTAACCACCCTGCGGGCCGGATCCAGCCCAGGGGCCTTGAGTTTGATATTCCTAATATAAAGCAAGTGTTATGTGTACATGTTGTTGTAGGTACCTTAAGCCCATTTCTAGTTATATAGATATAATTTTTTTGAGTAGGGAACATAACTCTCCTGACAAGCTAATATGTAAGAGTTTGTTGGTGGAAATTAATTCCTTTGTTCATCTTCTTTAGGATTAATAAAAAGAATCAATTAATTTTTATTTCCCTGCAACAGAATGTTTTTGTACAACTTTCATTGGCATTCAGAAATGATAGCTATACATTGGAATCAAGAATTAATCAGGCTGAAAGGGAAAGGAATCTTGCTGAAGAAAATACAGAGAAGGAATTAGACAACTTCAGGGGAGCAGTTACGGTAAGACAAAACATGCTGGGAACCACAGAATGTTCTGTGTTATGTATTTTAAAATTTTCAATAGGTTACTTGTTAGATTTCTGTCCTGGCTTTTTTTTTTATAGAAGCTCAAGGCAGGGTACATAGAATTTCTTCTTCTATGAATTACAACACTGTGAGGTAAGTTGGTCTAAGATAGTAATTGTCATGCAAGGAGCTTCCATGATGGACTCAAACTCCAAAATCCAAACATTTTGGAAATAATCAGGAGCCCATTTCAAATTCAAAAACAGTAGGAAGCTTGAATATTTAAAATTCTGAAGACCTTTTCTTCCATCATGAACATACTATCACTACAATTTGTGTAAGGTCAGAAATGGCCTTCAGTGAAAAGAGGTACATGGGCGGAATAGACAGCTTACTTTCTGTCCCTCTATCTGTTTGTCTGTCTATTCCTCTATCTATTAAACCCACCCACCCAATTATCCATTTGTCCATCCATCTATCTATCTGTCCATCCATCCATCTGATTTGTTTTGGATCATGATTTCTTGAAAGCCAACTACCATCATTTTGAAGTAGTATCCATTTTTAAGAAAGTTAATTGTACTGGCAGTGATAATAATTGACATAGTATATTAAAAGTTGCCATGGTTTCTGTCAAGCCAGCCTCCCTCAAGTAACCAAGAAAGAAACCACTTAACTCCATTTCGCGGAATTAAGAGTACTTTTACTGGTTATGAAAAGATAGCAGCTAAGCAAAGCAAGATCTGAGCAAAAGCGCACGAAATCATAAATATCAATATGTGACCCAACCCCCGCTCCCTGGTAACTCCATCCCTAGTCCAATCTGCAAATCCCTTAGGTGTCATGTGAGTTCCATCTTCAAAAAGCATCATCAGGTTGATATGCAGGACAGTTGGCCTTGGCGGCTCCCATCACTATCTCCAGCATGTGCAGTAGATGGTGAGAACAAAACCCCCTTTACACAATCTCTCCTGTAATTAAAACTTCCCTTCCCAAATCCCAGGCCCCCCCTCCCCATTTCAATGGCAGCCGAAAGTAAGTAGCGAAACAGAGGCTGACATAAACCAAGTAATCCTTCCTAGGTGGGTGAACAACCCCACTTCTCAAGGATGAATTCAGGCTGAGTGCATTTGAACTATGGGTTTGTTCCTAATAACTCCTGATTTTCTGCCTCCACTCTTCCCTTGCCTCTATCAGCTCTCTTGCTCTTATAGACATTCAGAATCACAGCTCAATTTTGTTCTTTTTAAAAACTGAAGCTGTAGGAAGAGTGACCGAAATTGAGCATGGAGTCAATAGAAGAATCAGCCTAAACTCTCTATGTAGCCACAAATTGACTAAGACCTATCCCTCTTGAATTCCGCTGACCCTCATCTAACACCCAAATATATACTAACTATTAGTTTATTAGGTTCCTATGGATAGGCATGTCTAGTAATAAATCAGTCTAATTGGAACTTCACATTAGTCTTAATGAAACTAATAGGTAACAAAACTACCAGATTGCACAAGAGTCTTAAGAAGGACAGTGAACGGTCATGCAGAACCAAAGATGAAAAGTTGCACATCTGGGAGGACCGA